CCAACAAACAAAAACAAAGAAAACACGCACAAACAGTGTAACATGTGACATTCTCTGACACAACAGTCTTAAAAGTAGTGGCGTTGGTAGTTTAGTGGTTAGGCCACCAGACTCGAAATCGAAAGATTGCTGGTTTGGGGGTTCGAGGCTCAGCTTGGTCCGACGTTGTGTCTTTGAGAAATTAAGGCCCTTTAACACGAATGTTCCCACTTGGTTCGGTCTATCGGAAACAGACTTAAGTTTGGAGATCCCGTCACGTCAATAACCTCAGGGTGTTACAAACGCCGATAGGCTATTTCCCAGTCTACAAGGAGACATCAAAGTTCACGCCTCGCTGTTTTTAAAGAGAACCCATAGTGGCCGACGTGTACTTTACGCCAACCCATTCAAATAATGGCTATATATTTCGCTTGGAACCGAATGAAAGCAATGATAATAGAGAGATACGAAACAGCCTCAGCATATTTCTGCTAATTCGGGAGCCCTAAACTAATATAATTTGCTGGCCTTTATAATATAGTTGCTGTTCTTTTCACTACAACACTGCATACCAACACGGGCTCCTCGTTCCTCCTCTATCCACCACGGCTCATTACTGAAGAGTTGCCCCCGTTCTTGCTCCATACACGGCTTGTCTTCATAAACCAGTCACAAGGAGACTAATTCCTCCATGAGGCCATAGCGTTAAAAGTGCGTCACTACATTCCACCGCAAGTAAATCTTCCTTGGTTCATGGGAAGTTATAGTTTCGTAAAGCCAGAAGAATTCTCTCGTCTTCAAGATCTAGATCTGAAGCAGACATCGGTGATCATTTTTGGCGCCTATTTCTCTGCTCATAAAAAGCCCCCCCCCAACAAAACAACAAAAACAAACAACAACAAACAAACAACAAAAAACCAACCAACAAACAAAAACAAACAAATAAAAACAAAACAAAAACAAACAAACAAACAAAAAACCACAAAAAACCCAAACAAACAACAAACCCAAATAAACATACAAAAGAACAACAACATGCCATTCTCATATTTTCTCTCTTAAACCCATCTGTTCAAGTTCATTAAAGTTAGTTATTCCGGGTCAACCTCTTATGCTTTAGTTCTACTTTACAAGATCCTTATGTATCGATTCAAGGGTCCTAGGATTTGCAAAGGCCTCAGTCTAATCATTTTTTATTATAGCCTAGGGGGGTAAAAAATTCGAGGCGCAACTTATAGTCAAATATCTTCTCAACAATCGAACATAGACTCACCAACTTTTGCATAATGACTTACACCAATTAGTCTCAACAGATGAATATTTTTTAACACCTGTGGGCTGTATTCTAGAAAACTCAATAATAACTACCGATTTTAAAAAATCCCAGGTGACGGTTTCTACAGATTTTAAAAGGTTTACCTCCCACGAGCTGGGACAATAGCACTTTTAAAAGCAAGTCCGTCTTACGTCTTGTAATCGTGACACTATGCTTATGGAACTCATGTTTTCAGAACCTTTAGTGCGGGTAATGATGCTGAACAAAACTTGAAGTAGTTTATTACTCAGCTTTTGCAAACCATGGATGACTACATTATATTATATTTATATTATTGTTAAAACCAAAACGTACTGGCACAAGCGCAAGTTATAGACTAATATTAATAATGTATATTGAACGTTGTTTATGACAATCGATAAACACTGTTTTAGAATCGCTAATTTACAACGGCATCAAACTAATACAGTTGAGAATCTCGGCATCAAACTAGTTATCAAGTACGAGCAGAAATTCCTTACAGTTTCATTTGTAATTTGTCAGGATATAGTAATTATGCGTGGGCTAAAGTTTCACTACTAAAAAGTGTCATTGGTGAGCTGTGACGTAGGCCACATACGTATGCATAATTTACCTGAAGAGCGGGAAGTGCTGTGAAGTGAACACTCCCATTTTTCGTGCAACGGAAATTTGTAGCATTTTACATTATCTAAAAGTATTTATGATGAAAAGTTTGCCTCTATTGTGGAAAAATATGATTGAGTTGAGACAAATTGATACAATTTGCTGTGCAAAATATGAATGACACTGATTCACTTGTTAAAGAGATATTTGAGGATAAGTTGCGCCACGACTTATTGACCGCACTATAGCGGCCGTCTACCCCGTGACCACGGAATTCAAAACAAATCCCTCAGAAGAGAAAAGCGGAAAAAATCTTTGAAGCATGACAACGGGTTTTAAACCTCACCCTGGATTGATTTCTCACCAAATTCGTTAACAACCGTATCATAAGTTTATTCGACCTGCCTTTCCATCAGCGCAACATTCAGCCTATCCACACTAACCAACGCGGAGGAACTCTTAATCCTGCTAACACTCATTAATCACGGACCATTTGTTCAACTTTTGCCAGGAGACCAACCCACAGTCAACACAGCTTTTGGCCACCTGGGGTCTGGTTTGAGCGTTTTCAACACATATGGTTTCCACTGGGTGGTCAGTGGTATTATTGAGCCGTCGGAGAGGCTTACCAGGGACCGATAACTTGGCGGCGTTTGACGTATGGGGGGTGGGTTTCAAAAACTGCCTCAGAACTGGTTTAACTTGACGGACCGGAGAACAAAGAACGCATCATAACTTTGACCTCGCGTGAGATACGGGGAGCTTGGAGAAAACTTGCAACACAATAAAGTCAAAAAAGCGCCGAAGACTAGAGGTGTTACCAGGATGTATCATACAAACACAAAAAAGGACAAATGAGGGCGACAGAATCAGGGTGGGGAAGAAGGAGCAAACAGCACCAGAGCATTCATCAACCACTCGCTTTGAGTCTGAGTGTGATGATGTTAGGAAATTTTGAGAGAGAGAGAGAGAGAGAGAGAGAGGGAGAGAGAGAGAGAGATTGCCTTTGACGAAAAATGCATTTTCAAGCAAAAAGATCAGTAATAATAATTTGCATTTGTATAGCGCATATCCACGCCCTACAGCATGCTTTTGCGCGTTGCAAGTGTTATTACCCCAGGAGACCCTAGACAATTCAGAAAAGTTCTCGGCTTCCCGGGAAGCATAAAGTACAAGCTGTGGATTCCACGCCGCCAAACAGTAACAAACTTATAAAAATCTTTGGTTGCCTGTAGCCGGGTACCCATTCCCACCTGAAGAAAAGTCATGTCAAGTGCCGTTCCCAAGGACACAAAGTAGGGCCTCCTACGGGATTCGAATTCACGACACCATGCCGCAAGTCCGGGAGCCAAACCACTAGACACCAACACCACAAAACAAAACACGAAATTAAAAAAAAGACCACCACTCCCCAAAAACCAGCAAAGAACAAACAAACAAACAAACAAACAAACAAACAAACAAACAAATAAACTAACAAACTCACACAGATAAACAACCACACAGACAAACAAATAAACAAAATACGAGGGAAAAAAAGGCCAAGTTCTCCTTTAACTTACTGAGTAGATCGACAAAATCGTCACCTCTTTTCCGATCTGTACCACATTCGTATATTGTCTCACACGAGAATGATCACTATAAAGTCCAAAGGAAGCACACACACACACACACACACACACACACACACACACACACACACACACACGTGCGCACAGACACCTCGAGTGATCCGAACTGTACTACAAAAGCAACACAAAAAAAAGCTAAATGAAACAAAAAGACATAATAAGATATAACACTGGAAGTACTCACATTTGCTGTAGACACCGTACAAACGGTTTTCTTATTTTTTTGACCAATACTTTGCCTTCACCGCTCTGTCCAGCGACTAGCATACACATGTAACTAAGACCACCAGGCAGCGCCGTTGGTGAAACAGTGCATGGCAAGTTACCAAAAACACGCCTCAAGTCCTGAACTTCCTTCTCCAGTCAGCCATTCAAAGTCAATCCGTATTTTTATCAATCCGAATCCCGGTTGTTGTTGGTTTAAAAAAAAAAATATATCCGTTTTCCGACACAAGTTGTGTATGTGCGTATGTATGCGCGCGCTCGTATG